CGAGATGCAATTCATCGCGAGGATTTTACTCCATCTAAGTTCAGTAGTAAACAGAACTTGATTTATAATGATGAATTAATAATAGAAGAGAATTACTCTTTCATAAAAAGTATGAGTAGAGGAAAAATAGAAAAGCTTTGATTGTGCAGTTAGTTTTGTATTCGTATATTATAGTCAACAAAATCATCTCTGAATTCGAGGAAATCTTCTTGAATGTTCATAATAAACGGGCATTTTTAATTCTCATTCTCAAATTTCTTTCTGAAAACGGTCATTTGCCTCGTGGCAATAAATGCAGAATTCATTCCACTGATCAAATTGCAACTATCATATCAACATGAACTACAAACACTCTACTCAAAAAGGTAAAACTGCATTTATCATGATATTTATCATGAAGATATTTGACTAAAAAGTTCCAAATTTCACCTTCTTTTTCACCTGTCTTCTGGATGGCATTTAGAACAAATTTCCCTTCTTTTTTCATCATATTGGACAATTTATATATAATTCTACTATAAATATGATTTTCTTGAGATTAATCCATATTTAGTGAAAAGAAGGAAGAATATCATTCAAAATAATGGCGTGTGTAATGTCATTCGAAAGCAATCTATTGAGGTAGGTGTGAAGTTTACCTTCACCATACAATTTTTGCCAGTATATTTAATTCGAATGGGTTGCTGTGGGTGGATATTATTTGTGTTTTACCCTGGTTTTTGCTTTAAAACTTCGTTTTTTCCATAATAAAATCGAATGGGGTGCGAAGAAGGGCTCAGTTGACGACTGGCATCTTTTTTTAACCGGAAGCCCTTCAAAAAACAGCAAAATCGGCTCAATGATGATCTAAAACTAAAATCTAAAAACGCGGTCGCCTTATAGCGCTATGAGCGCCTCACTAAGTGACGTCACCCACGGAGCATGCAGGCAATGCAGGCTTTTTTGTATCGGTGGTAACGGCTTCACCCGCACACAGAAAAAAAATTTCTTCGAATGAGAAAACCCATTTTCTTGAAAATTCAGTGGTATATCTGCTTTGAATTGAGCATATTCTTTTGAGTCAAAAAATCTGGTATGTTCAAGAAAATAGTGTCATATTATTGAAATATATTCTCAAACCAAGAATGCGCAATCATTCAGTTAATAAATTAATTACTTCAACTCAATCAAAACGGATTTTTCAATTCGCAGAAGCGTACTATTTTGTTTCAATAAATTCATTGCTTGATCCAAGATTATAAGAATTCATTTCTTCAAATTAAAGAATGCTCATATCTTCGAATAATATATTCAGTTTTCTCAAATTGCAAAAACCGAATATGTTAAGGCAATACGTAATTTTCTTGATACAAAAATATAATAATTATTTCTTCAAATGAAGCATTCTAATTTCATCATATTGATATTACAATTTCATCAAATCGATGACTTCTCATAGTTCTATTCTATGCCATACTTACTTGATTCAAAAATATGAATATCAATTTTCTCAAATGAAGGGAATGTAATATCTTCAACTTGATGATATTAATAGTTTCTCCAATTGAAGAAGCTACATTTTGATTCAATACTTTATTTACTTGATTCAAGTCTATGAGTAGGTATTTCTTTGAATGAAAATTTCATGCCTCAAAAATCAAGGGTAAGCAATGCTGTTGCCAAAACTCAGTCCCCAGTCTACAATCATTATTGACAATGCTCACATCATTATGACACGCCCACAGTGGATTGAATTCCCTTGGTAAGTAGGTATTTGCAAATTTCGGTAGTCATTGTGAGTGAATCAACCAATTTTCAATCAAAATAACAGGAATTTAGTATTATCCTGCTATAAAATTATGCTCATTCTGTAATACGAAATTCTTTTGTAGCAAAATGACGACTGGTTGATGAATGAAGAAGTATTATCTACAAATGAGGTATTGCAAAGACTTGAAAGAACCTTGAAATTAGGTGGGCTTGGGCTCCTACACGCTGCGGCTCGCGCTGCGGTCCATATAAGCCAACTTTACGCCCTCGATTCATAAATAACTATTATCTATTCATTTATAATTTCTTCTTCAAAAATAGGAAATTTGTACGTTTCAATAACCTCGACTATTTCATCCATAGAGACGCGCAATGTGGGGTAAACTTAGCTTCCTTTCTACGACAGTACGACTCTGGAATATATTTATTTTGTCGACGAATAGCAAGATTCCAGCACGAGCCGTAGGGCCGTAGGGAGGACCTGGGTGACTGCGAGTACAATAAAAACATTTTCCGGACGTGTTGCTCACACAATTCATTTGGCAACTGTGTGATATGAAAAATCTATAAAGCACGTTCTATTACAATATTTATTTGTGGAACAATACTTCGGTACCGTATACAACTTGTTTATATAAACATTCATCTCTATTTAGAATTATTAGAACAGTTGCTAGTATTGAAGTAATCCAATTTGTTTAAAATGGTTGGTGAAATTGAATGCCAGTTGAAGTCAAAACATGAAGGTGAGGTGTTACGTTGGTTGTTATCGAGTGGTACTTCTTGAATGGTCTTGTGGTACTTCTTGAATGGTCTTGGCAATTTCAATTTCACGAGTCTATCAATATCTCTCAGCGATATTGATAGACTTCCAACCACCGTACGTGCTTCCTTGAATTTATTAAATTCTCACCATTATCATCAAATATCTTCACCAGAGTTCGACGAAGGCTATGGCTTGTGTAATGTTCAGGATAGGGGAGCTTATTTTCTTAGATTTCCGAAACTGTGGATAACAACGGGCTGAATAAATAATAATCAATAATAATTTTTTCTGTGAAGTATGAGATGACCATGAAGATAAATATTGCCAAAATAATATCAAATTTTCTTTGTCAATTACAACAAATGATCTCTCAGTGTGTGTTCTAGAATCCTGCATTTCTACCAGCGACTTATATGCTTTGTGGTCGTTTATATGATCAACTAACATTTTTGTTATATAGTTCTTTCCGTCTATACGCACCGGCTGCGAATTTACTAAATATACTGTAGGTTAACACAAACCCCGCCCACCGTAATAATACGTAATCCTCAAACATATCTCATGATATATACTCAAATACACTCGACGTCAGCACATCGCTCTGAATATATTGCGCTCCAGCACAACTACCTATTATAATAGCCGCATTTCTTGTTAATTTTTCGATTTTCTTTGAGAAATGGAGAATAGAAAACAAAAATTTTAGTGGTATTGAGAGTCGATTCGAAGCAAAGGGTTATAGAGCGAGTGACCAACCGACCAGGATGGTCTGTATTTCTACTTCGAATACAAAGCAGCCATGCTCTCCAAGACCAATACTCAGATCAACCATCGGGCGCAGTCTATTCATCTCCATACCTGTCTTGCTACGCTGTTTCTGAATAAAACTATCTAATCACTGGAATGCAAGGGAAAGCACAGCAGTCATCGAATGCTATGGGTTCGAACCAAAAAATTTATATTGCGCCAGTGAATTGTAAGAGCCAGTCTAACTTACACGCTGCTCCTAATTTTGATGGAGAATTCCTAGTGTGGTGTGGTATGAAGACTACACATATCTCTCGAGTATAGGAAAGGTTGGTGGAATACGAAAAATCTGACAATATATTCACAAACCTCTATTCAATGAATCAGTCACCTCATTTAGTGGAGAAAATACATGCACGTTATCCAAAGTCCCTGGCAAGTACCATACCAGGTTGATCTTCCGATGTCCCGTTGTGATCACAAGGGGCTGACAAATGGAAGTGGTCCTGAAAAATATATATCAATGGGCTCGAGATCAGTGTCTCTAATTACTAGCCCAACACTCTATATATTATGAAGGTTTGATAAATATCTCTGTTTAATATGTATGATAAAAATCAGATTGAAAAGCTCTATGCAAATTAATTTCCAGAAACGATAGTGTGAAGCTCAAAAATAGCATTATGAGGTTGAGATACACACATATATATATCTACATATATATAGTTACGGTCCTGTCCGTAACCAGTCCGAAAACTTCCTTTCCTGAATATTGATGAGGATGCTGCTCGTGTGTCAATTCAGGGTTGGATAGACGTGGCCTCCAACGAACTAGTGGAGTCCTCAGCCTGATCTAGAGTTTCAGAGTCAGATGAACCTGGTCCAGCTCGATGGTGCGCATGGTAGAATTAACCCAAAGGGGGTAGGAGTGAACCTCGGAGTGAACCCTATGATGATGTAGAATTAAACATCCAAATTCTCAATTATACGGTACATACCTCAGCGTCTGGAGAGTTCAATAAGGCGGCATGTGACAACTCGTAAAAATCCCCAATATGGGAAATCTTTCTTTGTATGACAAATCACAATGACTCTACTAATCCACAATAATAAAAGGAAGATTGTACTAACAGGTAGTCAATAGAAAACCACTATAAGTGATAATATATGATTATTGAAACCTGCTACGGTATCACAAGCCGACTCTCGTATCGTCACCACAGGAAAGAAGCCGTAACACCCGTTGAATTCGAAACTTCACTTCAATTATGACAACTGTCAAACATTTGCCAAACCTTAGATGTTTATCGGTCACCAAGGATCCATAACAATGAAAAATAGCCAAATGCACATAAATATTACAAGGTGATCCGAAAAACAATATGCACGATATATTCTTCAACGAACGAATGATTTTGGTATGCACACTGAGGATCATAGTAATAGTAGTAGTAGATTATTCTCAATGAAATGAAGCAGATTTATGACTGATGAATAAAATGAGTACTTATGATTTTACTGAATTTGAACTGTAACAGTCTTGCCCTGCATTCCAAACCCGTCGGTAACGATGAGTCCGCCAGGTTATGATGCCAACAGAAATTATGAGTTATTACCTCCATATTATCACTCTGGTGGCACTAGCTGTCATGAAGGTCTAACACACTAGTATAATAATTCAACCTAAACACATTTTCAGATACAACGTTTTTTAACCCAACTCTATTTTTTGTTTCAGGCAGAAAAACACATATACCCGTCCGATTCTGGATAGGATTGATGGTATTCCTGACGACCTACATTAACTACACCACCAGAGTGAACATATCGATCAGCATTATATCCATGACAAGAGGCAAATCGCAAAAAATTCCGGAGTGCTTGAGAGATATAAGTGCCAATAATACAGGTACTAACAGTACCATTCTGTTACCCGATGTAAGTTTTCTATAAAGTGATGGTATAGACGGTATATCACCAATACGTTGGGTGATCTGTGGAAAAGTCCCTATACAAAATTGTTTTTTTGTCGGCCTCTTCAAAAATCACATTTTACGTTTTAATTTCCGAACGAAGAACCTACTATCTCTGAAGGCAGGTACTTTTCGTCCGCAAACACTTTTCGACCGCTGCAGGGTTGCCAGTTCTACCGAATTTCCAGTAGATCTCCTGGTTTGCATATCGATCTACTGATCTATTGTAACATTTCATAATACACTGAAAAATATTTTGACAATCATTTATTAATATAATCACCTATATCATTATTGATCTTTTTCGTCGACCTCGTATTATTAACGACTAAGTTTAATGTATATGAAATCGTTCATTAATGACCCCTATTAATGATCAATTTGTCTATTAATACACGATTGTTTTATAGGCAACCAAACATACACCACGTGCATTCATTGTTTATGCTATAACTTACGGAATCTGCATTTTAATCAAAAATATGGATTTCATCGAAGATTTTCCGTTAACGGGTTCGCCTTCCCAAGTTTCTGAAACGATTTTAATCCCTGTAACACAAGGAATTTATTTTCTATGTTGATCATTTCGACAAATGTCAAATTTCACTAATATCAGTAACTAGGCTATTGGGTGATTCTTTAGTAGTTTCCGGATGAATAATGAATTCGCGAACGAAGTTTTCTTCATTGCAGGACAAATGAAAAATAAAGTCGACGGAAAAATTTTGTAACCAACTCGTATATTAAAAGGCGAATAATATCTCGATCATTAATCGCCCTCATTAATAGACTAGTTGGTTAAATAACTATTAGTTGATCACATACATACACATGAATTGAATAATATTTCGGAACACTTTGTTTGAATCAATTTTACAAAATGAGTAATAAATCTCAATATGGGTACTAATAATTAGGTATCAAACAAAACAGACAATAATTCATCTGATTCAATTTTTCATATACCTCTGTTATAAGACTTTGTTCCTTATGTATATTTTTTTTATTCATTTTGTATTTTTGTTGTTCACTTTTACTATTCGTTCCTGTTTTTATATACACAAATCTTATAAGTACCTATATGTAACTGTATATTTTGTTATATTTGTGAGTATTCTTGAATAGAGTATTGGGAATATGATTATTTCTGTATGAGAATGATTGTTTTGTTTTGTTGAATTCGTATAGAAAAAAATAGATCTTGAACAGATCTATTGGAATCTACTCAAATTGTGACAAGGTATTTACTGATGGAATGAAAATCGAACTGGCAACCCTGGCCGCGCGGAGAGTGAGTTGACAACAACTGTCATTTGCTGTTGTCAAATTAGTTATTCACGAAATCCGATAGAATCCACGTGTGAATAGGACCGTGATGTATGGATATAAGTGTTTGAAGTCGACGAAAAAATATGATATGCTCCTCGGCTAAAAACTGCCTATTGTCTTGCCTGATTCCTGATTTGCAGACTCGACTGTAGAAGACAGTGTTTCGTCCTTGGTACATAAATAACTATTTCACAAAAATGTTTTTGGTCATGATTCAAACGATCATACTTATGACCTCATGAACCGAAGTCCGTATAAACAATGGATACAGAGGAGATTTATTTATTCTGATTCTGCCCTAAAATTACTCAAATTGTACTTTGGAAAAATGATGATATATGTCTCGATATATGTATATACTGCTCCTCGCAATTGAGTTGGAACACCTGAAATTTCCGCTCAGATTAGAAAGATTACACTTCCAAAAAAATCAACCGATTTCAATTCGGTTTTCAGTTTTCAGAAGCTCATTTTATTGTCTTCAGATCATGAATTCGAGAAACGAATGCAAATGTATCGAATTTTGAGTGAAAAATGTTTCTTCTGGTTTGCTCATATTTTTTCATGGCGTTTGATGTCTTATCTCGAAATGATTTTTTATTTTCATTGATTGATCACAATGTTTCGTAATAATGATTTTTTCCTTCGTTTTCTCCTGAAATATCACAAAAATATTGTGTTTCATTTCTAAACTCTGCACAAGAACATTTCCACGCGGTTATGTGACCCATAGAAAATTAAAACCACCCGAGACAAATTCACCTATCGATATCTAGGCTCCAATTTGTATTTGTAAATGAACATGAATAATGTGTGCCATGTTAAAAGTCTTCGATCGTCTCTCAATCGTTTGGATGATCACACATATGATTTATTTTCTTCATAATGCTAAAGAGTGATGTGATGTCTTGAAACAATTTCGATTTTTTTGCAATCTGGTTGATAATTTTGAAGTGGTATATATTTTTCATGATATATCTCAGTATGAGAATTGGGAATGCATTCTCAATTCTCCTATATCCCATCATCGATCAGAATATTCTTCTCGTTCTGAAAATACAAGCTGATTCAAGAAGTCCCTTGAAATATAAATTTTAAGAATATTTTGACTTCTAGCTGTGTATCTTATCAGTTCCTCTTCCGTTCGGTGAGATTTCATTCGACTTTCGGATTATTTTTCATCTCCCGTTTTCATTTGATAATATCAAGAGAGATCCATTCTTCACGAAAACTATCCTTATATTTTGAATATCATGTATTGCTCCGAGAGTGTCAATGACCTTTTATCACAATCCCTTAATCTCAATCCCTTTGGTCGATGATAATATTCGACAAAATTTTACTAGATAACAATATCTGGAGAATTAATTCCCAGTATTTGTCGCCATATATGAATTTTATTGAGGATAATGAATTAGATAAATGGAGTAGAATTGAATTTACCACTTTTTGATCTTTTGGATCACTCGCAGGGAACTCGAATTATGTTCTTGCATACCTTATCTCATTTTCGGTATCATTTCAATTCGACTTCAGATATGCTCAGTAGGATTCATATTCAGAGATTGGCAATCAATTCTCTCGATATTATTCGCTCCTAAAACATTGTCGAGCCTTATCATTGACCAAAGGAATTGTGATAAAAAAGTCTTCGAGACTATCAAAACATTACAATTGTGTCATATGGTGAAGATGATGAGGAAGTGGAAGTCATATTATGTTCTTGAAATTATGTGATGATGAAAAGAGAGCACAAAGTTTTTCATAGATTTTTCAATTTGGTCAATATCATATTTTCCTACGAGCGTGCGCAAAGTAGTACTTTTTCGCACTCATTTGCGTGCGCAAAGTAATACTTTTCTGCACTCAGTGCGGATATGGGCGTTATCCGCACGGCGTGCGGATAAGTGAAACTACCCAAAAATCTCACTGGTATATGGAACATTTATATTCATTTCAGTTGCTGTAGACTATTGTATGCACTATAAGTAGCCGTTAATCCTTTTACTTTTCAACCGTTCTTCCCGATATTTGTATTTCACCTCAATATAAATATTAGGAACAAATGATTAAATTTTCTATTTTCTAAATTTAACGGATGTACCAGATTTGAAACATTCATTCAAAATAGCAACGAACATACAGGGGCATGAAAAATTAATTCCCGGTAAAGTGATATATTAGGAATAAGAAATAATAATGTGTGAGAATACCTTATAATATATGGGGATAGGTAACTTATTTTGATTTTTGTTTCAGTATGGTCCACGTTACGATTGGGATCAAAATCTTCAAGGTTACCTGATAGGCTGTTATTTTTGGGGATATTGTATATCTTCCCTGCCTGGTGGAGTGATATCAGAAATGTTGGGTCCGTACAAAGTTATTGTTTGGACTCACGTGGGTTCTGCCATTTTGAACTCTTTATCAGTGTTCGGAACTCACATCCATTTCTCTTTATTGATGATTTGTAGGCTCCTGCTGGGATTGATGGCAGTAAGTAAATATCGTGGTGAAATCAAACGGCATTTTCATTAGGGGAAATTTAATGGGATAGTTCACTTTTCTGCATGACCTACAGAATTATACCTACTCATAGCTAAAGAAAAAAGTTCATTCACTTGTAAAACCACTATAGTGACTAAATTATTTCTGGAAAATTATTCAACCTCTTGTGATATTCGATAAGAAAATTCCACATCAGATTGTGTTTGCGAATTTATTAATTCTAGAATCTATTCATTCATTTGATTTTCATATAGATTTCTAGCTTACAAATTCCTAGTTTCTACCTATTGTAGTTGCATGTAGGGGTCGCCAAGACTAGAATTCTTGTTTTGATAACAACTTCTTGTCTTGTCTTGAGAAAAAGTCAAAAAGTTTAAAAAAATCTTGTCTTGACGTTTTTCTTGACGTATCATTTCTTGTCTTGACTCAAGATATTTCAAGATCTTGAAATTTCTTGATTGATCGGTGACACTGTACATGGTGATTCCCCGGTGAACTTTTGATTGCGTTGAGTGCCAGGGTTGTCATCTCGATTTTCATTTCATCAGCAGATATATACCTTGTCAGAAATCCAGTAGATTTAAGTAGATTTATTTTGTGCTATACCAGGGTGATGAAATGACCCTTTGACGTCAAAAAAATATGTACTTTTTCGTGACAGGAAAAAGTTTGACATTTTATCTATGTTGACATTAAGATGGCTACAAGGACTGTAGCCATCTTAGTTGACATGTACCATAATGTAACTGGTGGTTCCCTGATCTTTATCTTTGTTTTCTGACAAAAGCAAACGACGTCGCGCGCTTGCAATGATGCCAGTTTTTGAAATGATGGTGAAAAGTTCATTATATTGATATTATCTCTTATTCCATCATGAGTGATAAACGCACGTTTTAGCGTTTTCATTCTTATTCAAGAAATTTCAAGATTTCTTGCTTTATTTACATGAAATCTTGGTATTGACATAAAATTTCTTGTCTTGTCTTGATCTTGTCTTGAGATCAAGATAAGATCTTGCAATTTTCAAGAAGTTGGCGACTCCTAGTTGCATGAGAGATGCCTGTTGAAAATACCAGTTTAGAATGTAACATATTATATTCTTCAATATGATATCATTTTTTTGGTTCCTATATACGAGTGGTAGACAGTTATAATTTTATCAATCAATTTTTCATAGGTGTACATACTCGTATATACTAGTAGGAGTATAGGTAAAGAGGAGGCGGTCGCCTAGCAAGTAGGCTTAGGCCCTTGTGGGCCCTGTTTGCTGACTAATGCTGCACACATATACAGGGTGTTTCCTAAGTACATGTACAATTAACATGAGCATGTTGCTGATGCCAATATGAGCAGAAAAGTTTGTAGAAATATATGTCCGCATTCATTCAAAGTTTGATTCTTTTTTCTTTTTTTTTTTTGTGAATGAATTCACCTTAGGTTGATCAGATTTTTCTGTTGAAGACTAACTATCAGCACCAAATATTTCGAATCAAAGCCTTCCATACCCCTTATACTGGCCTTGGTAGGTTGTGGTATGACATGCATAATACATAGATGCAGTTTGGGCACCAATGGCTTCTTAGCCCAATCATAGTTAATTTCTGCTCATTGTAGTGGCACGAAACCATTATTTCAGGACCTACAAATATTATTCTGTGAAAAAAGTCCAATTTCATGAGTTAAAAGTAACTTGTGTTGTTGTGGATCCTCGTTTCTTAGCGATCCATTTTTCGACATTTTTATAACGCTCATTGAAATTAGTAGATAATTTTGACGTCATTGTTCCTTATCTCTTCTAATCGCATGAAATAGAATAAAACTCGCGATACTTACTTTATTTCCCAAATATTCCTCGATTGACAGACATCCAGCTTCCTGCTAAGAGTAATTTCGATCACAATAGCCTTAGCCGTTCCCAGAAATATGTTACAACTGGTACTGTCGATCAGGACCGTCTTTCACCTATTAGAGACCCTGGGCACATTAGGATAAAGGGGCCCCAATGACCATATAGAATAAACAAATAACGTAGAAATGGGAAGTTTTAGCATTATTTTTATTTCTTTACAGTTACATTATATATGATGAATAGATTATATCATGTAATCCACACTAAGTAACCAGCATCCACGATTAGTCCTTATACTCCTTATATAAGAGGTACCTTTCTAGATTTGAGTTGAGCAAAATCGTTAATAACATCTTCAAAATCTATGTTTTCGTACGAGCATATCACATTCTATGGACATTAGCGACAAACTATTCAATCTCTCTTGAAGCATTGTACTTCTTAATTCACTTTTTATTCGTTTTAATTTGGAGAAGGAGCGTTCTCCACTGCAGTTAGTTACCATCATGCTTAGAAAGATTCTCAGTGCGATTTCTACATTAGGAAAGGTGTCTTCAATTTTGCTTTCTATCAAAAGATGATGATATATTTCCAGTATACTATTAGTTTTTTCATTTGTACTCTGAATTATTTTCAAGTATTCTGTTAAATGCAGACATTCCACTCTTTCTCGTTTATACGTCTTCATAGTAGAATTCAGCAAATTCTTTGCAACTTTGTCTCAACTTTTCGGAATTCAGAGTTTTCAAGCGAAAAAATAAACCAAACTTTCATTACTTTTTTTATAACTTTTTTTTAATAAATTATTATTGCGAAAGGCAATTGAAATGAAAAATGATATTGAAATTTATTGAACATCATGCATTCGGTAAGCCTGATTTTCAGGCGAGAGCTACTATCGGGGCTAGGGGGCCCCAATCCTCGCGGGGCCCTGGGCACGTGCCCAGTGTGCCCAATGGGGAAGAGGGGCCTGCTGTCGGTTCGAATGGGGCTATCGGTTGAGCATTTTTTTCAAATGTGTGAATCATGGTTGTAATCCTAGCAGCACCTCGATGCCCTAAAATTGATTCAGATTCCACTATGAGCTGTAGGTCCCGCTATTCCTAACCCCGCACAAGTTTCGACTTCTGGGGAATTGGTTCTTATCTTTGAAGTGGCGATATTAAAATTTTACAAATTTTACAAAGTTCACAAAAAAATGTTATTGTAATTTACGAGATGTATAATATACTACAACAATGGGCGTAACAATGGCCGAATCTTTCATGCAAAATAGTGTCACTTGTGAATCATCGGAAGCCATACTATTCCTTCAAATTAAAATGAGTATTTTAAAATTTGGGACATAAATTAAAATTTGCAGAGGTGTTTTTTTTTAATTGAACAAGTAATTGAATAATTGAATCTTTCTTGTGATATATCAATAGTGACACCAAAAATTAGAGGCAGGAGAAGATGCCGGCTTCTATTGTCTGCGACATCGGAGAATTTTCCATAGGATTCCCATTAAAATGTCGTCTGAGTGCAGAATTTTATCGAAATTGGTCGAGTGGTTTGAAAGTTATGAAGGGAAATCCAATTTTTCTTTCTTGTTAGGGGAATTTTCAACTAAAGCTATCGCCTATCAAACTTAATAACGTTCAACCTGGATCAACCTGTATAATCGACATAAGAATAGATAATGCAAACATTTCAGTCGACTCCTCACAAACATTCACTAGGATTTTGATAGCACTTTTATCTTTCGTTAAACATCCAAAATGACATTTCTCTCCAATTTGAAGACTCAGGAAACATTTCGAACATTTTTGGTTGACTGAAGCATTGTTGTGTTTAATATTCGTAATTATTCCGATAACACCTTGTATAAGTAAACCGACAGGCGAATCAATGAAATCTTATGACTTTTTCAAAAAACAACAGATATATTTTCCATAACATCATATTTTCAATAACGTCACTGATAATTTCTTTAATATCAATAACAACAAGCAGAGAAAATATTTCGAATGAAATACACTGATCATTTTTGGATGAGGACATGCTCCTCTGCAAATACTAGTAATTTATTCTTCGAACTACGATATAGCTCAGTGAGTTCAGTCAATGAGTGAGTTGCTAGAGGTAGAGCATTGCCACCGATCAAAGTAGAAAAATACCTATTCGGGTAAAACCACCGACTTATAGACTAATCTAGACCGTCAATTTTATGAGGAAATAGGTGAGCCACTCAGAGATCGAACTGGTGAAACTGATTCATGTGGAATAAAGTTGGGAAGGGTCTACTATGAAAGGTTGTTGAACCAAACATGAAGTTGTGAGAAATGAATGTGATATGCAGTATTCAGGTCTAATAGCTTTCAATACTCAGATTTTAGAACTCCATTTTGGAAATGGTGAATTTGCATATGGTTTCAATGTCTTGGAGTTGTCTGGGAGCATCAGAAAGCTGTCTGGTTTGAAGTGGTCTGAATATTTTATTCCTGAGTGGGTAAGATTCAATGGTCTCCTAATAGCCTAAAACCATTCATTTCTCTCATCCTTAGTAATACTATAGTCATTATTGAAGGAGTAAATTATCAATCCAAAATAGATGAGCATGTATAGCACCTCATACCTGAACTCAAATTATTCACAGCTGGATGAATATGAAAAACATGCATGATTCCATTCGATCTAGATACTTGGTCAACTGATGAAAGCAAATTAAAATAATAAGTTATTCATCACCCACAAACTCACCGATGAAATTGAATATACCTTTCAGTGCCTATCATTATTCATGGAATTCTTACACCAATGAACAAATTACTTCATGTAAATGAATATAACTACTAAACACATAAGACGACGCCATACACTTCGTCTCCGTAACAGAATGGATACTAAGGTAGTAGAAGAATTAGTAACGATAATATCTACAGATCGAGTAGAAGACAATTGATATCATCCCTTATGCCACACCTGACTACTCGACGGAACACATTTTTTCTTCTCTTATTTTTTTCATGTGAAACTAACTACCCGATGACCAAACTATGATAATTCATCGAGAATGAGCTTGATGCTTTTTTCTCCAAATGCCATTGAAAGTGGCTTTTCAATAACACTCCTCAGGCCGAAAAGGTGTACTTTTACTGCCTAGGCAGAAAAAGTTGGTTGCTATGCAACATTTCAAGTAATTTGAATCAAATTGGTAATCAAAATTGACAATGACTTAGGGTTAACACAAAATACTGGATTAGTTGGACTTTTCGTGAAATGGAAACGAATTTGGAGAAAAAATCATATGTTTCACACGGCAGAAGAGAAGATGTAATGCTTTGGCTATGAAACGCCAGCCGCGGCATTGAATCTTGAACTTTTCTGCCTAGTAAAACTAACATGTCGACAAAATGTAATCATTTTAGACAATAAAGCATATTTGTTATTTGATATTGATAAATATTTCAAGGGGCCAGTGTATCCTGCCTTGCAAGTCCTTATCGCGAAATGGGCTCCTCCTGCCGAAAAGGGCAAATTCGTCGCTGGTATGATGGGAAACACGCTAGCCACGTGTATCACGTGGCCATTGGTCGGTGCAGTCACGTCAGCTTGGGGCTGGGACTGGGGCTTCCACGTCATCACCATCCAGATTGCAGTTTTCTGCGTGATCTTTTATTTCGTCGCCTCTGACACACCCGACGACCACAAGTTCATCAGTCAGGAAGAGAGGGATTTCATCAAGGAGGCTCAGGGTGCAACTGTGTCCAAGAAAAAGGTTTGTTTGTATATAGATTTCATACATCGATGAACAAGGTTTTTCTAGGAGGTCTTCAGAAAGTCATACCACATATTCCCCAGACCATAACCACTCGATTCAAGTAAACTCACCCAATACAAATAAGTTGCTAGACGGCAATGAAGTTACGATTTTCGAATTCGCTTTGCCTCATTAATTCGAAACGCATCATGAAATTCCACTTGAATTTGATACGTTAGCAAATAAGCCATGAGGCTGAGACCCATATATTATAATCATGATGAATGAGCGGAGAATTTGAATTTTCAGTTGAATATCTGAGACTTCTACGCCACTGAAAAGAAAGGGGGTATGAAATTTAGATCACGTAACTCATTTACTATGAAGAAGGTTACTCCTGACTGAATTCCACAATCACCATGATGATTTCGATAAAATTTGAATTTTAGTAATTCAAAGCATTAATCAACACAGCAGATATTTTATAATTTGTTCAAACTGTCATTTTCAAGTATTTCACAGCCGTTTGCTGGTATCGAGTTGTGGTCTGAGTAATATGTAGTAGTTTCTAGGAGAATCAGTTTTTCATCAGTTGCTCAAATTGCTCTCGTTTTCAGTGTAATCTGTACGGCAGATCGTTAGATACACTAATAAATTCAATCTACCAGAACGTTTGATAACTATCAAGTATGTTCTTGAATGTCCCAGAAACTTGGAGAATGCTCTAGTTTATTCTAAAATATTCCAGGATATTGTAAAATTTTCCAGAATAAACTAGAATCTTCCAGAATATTCGAAAATGTTTCATATTATATATAATTCCAGGAATATTTCGGAATATTCCTAAAGGTTCTGGAACTTTGGGAAGAATTCTGTAAAATTCGATATAATTGAGGATATCATGAAGAAATTGAACTTCATGAATTCATTTGAGGATAAATTATTGTTTCACATAAACACATACTTATATGAATTCTGCAGGAAATTCCTTGATATCAGAGTACTTCTAGAGATTCGTTTGAAAATATATGTAGCCGTCGATATGAAGTTCACTGTTTGTCCATTCAGCCTGATTTTAGCGATGATGAGCTATAGCTAAATCTTTTTAGTCACATCTGCCTGGAATAATTTCGTTTTTTTTCAATACTTTTACTTCGAAAGTATTTTGAATTTTCATATATTCGCAGCGAGTTCTACTTTTGGATGTAGAAGATTGGAAGTCTATCAAATGATTACCAATTAACCAAAGTTGGCCTTGATGGCGCCCTTATGGCATACATGTCGGTATGTAAATATGTCGTAAAGACGTACATCATTGTCTCAAAGACATCCTCAAAATTTAACTGAAATGGGCGTCTTTGAGATGTCTGTTCAAGCTTTTTTGTTTCATACATATATTAGTTAGAGTGTGGAAGTTGTGAAAGGAAAATGGACGTTCCAGAAAGTTGATTTTTTTAAGGATATAAGTAAAATGACTTCACTGTTAGATGCCTAATCACACATTTATGTCGTTCCTCGCGGCCTTGCAGACCGAAAGCAAAAAGTGGTCGTCTCAGTACTGTTCATTGAAAGATTCACATCCTTCATTATTCCAGATTTTTTGAGATTTTCTCTCCTTGTTTATTCAAAATAACAATATCAGTTTTATTTCAATATACGTGTAGTGAGGAAAAACAAATTTCACTGCGTTTAAAAATGTTCCTGTCAAAAAGCCTAAAAGTAAAATGCATCCCCTTGTCGGTAACACTTTGTTTTGGAAGAGGTCAGGAGAAGAGAAATATAGATATATAGAAACAGCATCAAATTTTCACTCATCTTTGGACGTTTCGGGAACAAATCTGCTCCTGTTCTGAACATTGAAATGGAAAATATTCATATCGTAAATTCGTCAGGCATCAGTTTTGACACTTCTTAGTGACAAATGGTGACGTAGGCAAACAAAAGCGAGTTATAGGACGTTTTCATTAATCAATCTCGAATTCATGGGAGATAGAGAAAAAATGTCACAAAGTTTGGAATAAAAAATATACCACCGCCTCAATTAACCTAGAGACAGTACTCACATCCTCATTTATTGGTTCTTCCGGTACACGATCAGGGGCGATGTCTGAGATGCGCCAGCTTTATTCTATCGCGCTAAGTACCTGGGATGATGTCAGATATGAAGGTCCTGACACAATGTTAAGGAATTCAGAAAAAGAAATGAAAAATAAGAAATGCAGGTCTGCTATTGGTCAATTCTAACCTTGAACTCGATCTGAACCAATCATAGTGCTATTCCTCATTACTATTCCTCCATATGAATATTGTCACGTCCTATTGTGAATCTGGACTATTCGTCTCCAAGACGTTTATTTTTAATCCTCTTAAAGTTTTTTGTTTTTTAAATACGTTAATTTCCGTATGTCTTGAATACTAAAATGTATACGTCTTGATGTCATTATTCTACCCATGGGCATATAGATGTGAATGTAATGTGATAAGTACCTTGTGGTCTCACATCTAATGTAGAGTGATCACAACATGTATAGAGGCGAATGTGTACGAGAAAAATGTGTGAGTCTTAATTTCTTTTTCACGCACGTAGACGTGAAGATGTGGATGAAACTTATTGAAATAAAGATATATGAGACGTCTCGTTCCCATTGGGATGTATACGAATTAACAATCTATTGACATTTTAAATATTTTCTAGGCAATCCCACCGTATTTGAGAATGATGAAATCAATACCTTTCTGGATGCTTACCACATTGCACTTTGGAAATCTTTACGGATTGTATTTACAACTCACTATGGTTCCAAAATTCATGGCTGAAGTGATTGGTTTCAATTTGAAAGCTGCAGGCGGACTATCGGCCTTGCCACATCTCTCTAGATTGTTTCTGGGTACGGCATTCGGATCTCTAGGCGATTATCTGAAGAAGAAACAGATCGTTTCTAATGCTTTCATCAGGAAGTTCTTCGTACTATTCTGTAAGTATTGATACTTTGAACATACCTCTATTGCATGGAACTATTCGTCAGACCTTTTAAAAGTGGAATGTTCCTGAATGTTTTCACTGAATAATCAAGATGAACAAAATGAATAAAATTCTACTGATATACAGGGTGGCATTGAATTATGTGCGAATAATTCAAGCCTTGAGAAAGTTCGACGTATACTATCGAGTGGTAGGTACCAAAAGAAAAACATAGGGATGAAAATAAAATTTGTAGCATCTCTGTTCAAATTTTCGTGCGGAAGGCACAAACACGCGGATTTTAATAATTTAAATTGTTTTAAAGTGGCGCACTAAATTTTTTCTCGTTTCTTGTTCAATTTTTGGGATGACATTTCTTGTTAACTTGAAGAATTAGGATATCATGGGAATATTCGTTGGACTGTATAAGATCGCTGTGCTGATTATATGAACTTATTTCAAAAACACCTTGTATAAACCATTTTCAAAATATATCTGCATTTCCGATTAATCGAGAAGTCACTCCAAAATCAGTTGTCTTAGTTGAGATTTGAAAACAAGTTGGGCATTATTTTTTCATCGTCCTGCTCGTAGAGCAATAATTTGTTATCTATCTGAAACAATTAGATAATACACTATATTCGATATGATTGTCTAAAAATCATTTGATGGATTTGTTACCAAATATGTTCGCTTTCAATATACGGAAAAAATTTGAGCCAAATGTTATCTTCTACCACCTTGTTAAGTATTCAAATGAGAGTTGACTCTGTATCTGTATGGAAATATGAGTTTATGAACAATTAAAGAAATAGAAACATTAAACGCTAACAATATTCGTTATTATGTCCAACTCGATGGTTCGGGCCACCAGATTTTCATCACGTTGTTCTCACGTGTTTTCTTTTCTAGAATGGATATCGATTCATTCCATCCTTCAGTACACGAACATGTATTGGATTGACATTATTTGCTCTGAATGACGCGTTCCTTCAGAACCATGAATTCCAGAACAGAAAAATAATTCAACAACATACTGTGATGAGAATGTATTTTGGCCTATTTTAGGTGAATCGATCATTTTTCCTCAAGATCTTGCCTATTTTTTTTTTCAGGCTTTCACCTGTTCATTCATTTGAAATAATCAATTTTATTATAATCCAGACTTTTATATCCCCTTCAAAGAAGTATAAAGTATAAAGTCAACCATTTTTGAGAAGGCGTGGACAATTATTCAAATGCTTCAAACTTTTTCGAAAAGGGGAATCACAGATATCATTATTCCTAAAGTGATATTCGACCTTCATGAGCATCAGTCCTTGAATGAAATGAATATCAATGATTATCATAGATTCAGAACCTTTGAGGTACAGAACCATGTTCCTCGTTTTTTCAGCTTTGTCCACTAAGAAATTTACATATTATGTTTCAAGATGTCGTTTCTAGTATCTCTTATTTTGAATTTTGAATTTTGAATTTTCATAGAATGATATTCATCACTTCGAAAGTTAGGAGAAGTGGCTAGACACATATGCAGTAGCGAACGACTGAAACCTTTCAGCCATTCAAAATACCTGGGGTAGACGGTATATTTCCAGCCCTACTTCAAAAAGGGCGAATGGAAATCCTGACATAGACACTTCGTATAAGTCGTAGTAGTTGAGAACTGGGCTATATACCAAAATTTTGGTGGACGCCAAAGTTACCTTCATACTAAAAGCAAACATCGTTTGTCTTGAAAACAATGGAGAGGACTGTTGACAACCATACCAAAACAGAAGTCTTAAAACGGGTGCCACTGCACCCCTGTCAGCATTCTTACCAAGCTGGCAAATCCACGGAGACCGCACTGGTGGAACTCAAAAATACAAACCAAATCGCACTGACGAATAAAGAATCTGTAGAATGTGTCTTCTTAGATAATATAGAAGGCGCTTCTGAAAATACTCCTCACAGAGCAGTCAAAAGAGCCGTAGATGATAGGGGAGTAGATAGCACGACTTCCAGATGCTTGTCACAGCTGCTTCCTACCTGCCTAGCAGAAACGGAAGTAGGAAGAGAGAATATTTCCATAACTCCAACCAGAGGGTGTCCGCAGGGGGAAGTTCCCACTCATGTGGAGCCTGACGGTAGATGAAATCTTCCGCACTCTAACAAACCTCGACATAACTTGCCAGGGGTATGCCGATGACATATTTTCAATTGCACAGGTAAAAGTCGAGAACATCCTCTGCGACATAGTTTGAAAGAGATTGAACTACACAAAAAGATGGTGTTGGACAGTGGGACTCAACATCAATCTCACATAGACCACACTATAGTAACCTTCACGAGGAAAAAGAAACTTTATCTAAATACTATCAGAATAGATGGACAGACTTTTCTGGAACATGAGCATAAAGAAAATGTAACTTATGAAGCCAGGAGAGCTCTGATGGTGTGCAGAAACTTCGCAGAAAAAAATGGAGATGCAACCACAAGATACTGCAGTAGATGTACACAGCAATAGTGGGGCCAATCATCACCTATGGGGAGGCGTGGGGAAGTTACGCTAATCTCACCATCACGAGGATCAATCTCTCTATGGTCCAAGGATTAGCGTGTGTATGCATGACGGGTGCAATGAAAACGTGCCCAACGGCCGCTATAGAAGTCGTAATTCTGAATCCTACACCCCTCCATGCCCTAGTGAAGAATACGGCAAAGAGAACCACATATAGATTAATAAAAGATAGCTCTAAAATGAAATGATTACTCAATCTGAGGGGGGGGCTATATTGACACACATAATTTTATGAAATCTTCGTTGAAATTAAATTGAAGATTTATTCTGTCTCGTGTATCCATATATTTTATTGCTCTGATAAATCGATACATTGCGTTTCAACTATAGAAGTATCATATTATACAAATAATAATGTAATATGCTCATTATCTTCAACGAATCGTCGATTCATTCTTGATGTTATACATGTATGTACCTTGTTTACAGCTCATATCATCCCTGGTATCCTGTTGATTGGAATATCTTTCACCGGCTGCAATTATGTAACCGTAGTCATTTTGCTGACTCTCAGTATGTCTGTCAACGGAGCCGCCGTACTAACTAACCTCCAAAATCCACAAGATTTGGCGCCCAACTTTGCTGGTTCTATATTCGGAATAATCAGTTTCATTGGTGGTATGACTGGCTTTATTGGACCTGCCGTGACGAGTGCATTCATCAAAGACAACGTGAGTCACTTTTGAGCTCTTTCTGGATCCTGACGAAAGTATCTTGATACAAAAAAATGCATCTTATTCTTTCAATACTATTGAAGTGATGATATATACGATACCAAACCAATTCTCATCTTAGGCATGCAATTATCACATTCGAAGAAAGTGATAAACAATACAAAAAACATTTTGAAATATTGTAGTACTCAAATATGTCCAGTCATTCGGAATTGTTATTGTTTATTCTGATGAGCTATCTATCAATAATGGAATGCATTTTCGTTCTTTTTCAAAACATCCTACTCCAATCCACAATAATTGCGGTATATTTTGTGGATTATTCAGTAAATATGTACATTAGATTGATGGCATACATAGATGAAAAGGATTTCTTGATTCATTGCGGAACAGCATTGATTCAACCATTTGATGCTCTTGAATAGACCCAACCAAGTATTTGTTTGATTTTCAACAAAACTTCCCTGACACATTCATCATGAAAGGAAATCTTATTTCTTGATTATCGCAGTACGTACTTATCGAAGTAGGAAGTAATTAGTTTGTCTGTCAAATTGATGTCCCATCATAGTTTTAACAATTTTACCCACGGCCACTATAGAGAGTAGGCAAGAACACACGAAATACAGCCTCAGTAAGTACCTCTTCACGCACAGTAAGCACATCGCACAGTTTTAGTTTATTCCGCCAGTATCGGTATGTCATAATCGCGTAATCTCCGTCAACAACGGATGACATAACTGTCAAGAATTATAATTCAGACTTTCTGTCCAAACTTTTTTGATATTCTATATGCCAGTACTCTTCCATTCGTGCGTAATATGCTTCTCACAACACATAATACGATATATACTATTATTCTTGAATTTAGAAATCCTGAGCTTGTTACAAAATGATGATGACTCATCATAATAATTGAAAATTTTTCTAGAAGATCTTAATTTTCTTGTGCCTATTTTAGAGGAAAAAAATACAGCTAACTTTTAGGGACTCTAACTTTTAGAGTATTTATGGTCTCACCATAAATGGAATAAAGAAAACTGGGAGACAAAATACTTCATTGTGAAAAATTGATCATTCTTTTTTGTAAGAACAACAATGGAAACATGTATAATATAAATGAAAACATATATATTATAGTGAAATCATCAAATATTGTTGTTTTGGTCTGTCAGGTGGAATATTAATTTTTCTAGATTTTTGTGATTTTCTGTCCTTGCCCCAAAATGGCAATGGCAACCCAGAGAAAAGAGTGAAATCTTCATTACAAAAATGTTTTCTTTGTTGAAAGCAAATGAAATTCCGAGAAAATCAGATATTTTCTGGTTACAAGAATTTCTACGTTTGAAAAAATAGCATTTGTATGAAAGTTGTTGGTAGGTATGTGAAAACATGAAGGGAGAAGACATTTATACATACTCAAACGAATATACAGATTCTTTCATTATTGGTATATTCATTCTGATCAATAATAGAGTGAAAAATATACGAAAAATGAACAACTTAAAGTGATGTGAAGGAATGCTTCTAGGTAGGTAATAAGGTTTCGATAGAAAAAGGAAAAAAACGCCTTTGTACAACTGCCTTATAGAAATATACAAAGTTCAGAGTTCGTTTCTGTTCAAAATCAAAACCTAGGTAATACGTACACGTATTTAACTTACCCCCACATCAGATTGTACTCACATGATTGTGGAATGCCGAATTGCTGATGTTAAAATGATACCGTATACCGCATCATCATTATATATGACTCAGCACACTTGATTCTTGAAATATTCCCTATTGCAAAACGAAGGTGTGCACCGCAGAACTTTTAGACAAGCGAAGATTCTCTTGAACTAATATTAATTGGAGTTCATGTCACTGGTATGAAGAAAAATACTGTTTATGATGAGCAACGTCATGTGAATATATTTCAAGAAACGAAGCAAGCAAGCTGATTGATTTGGGACAAGTTTAAATTGCTCAAATCAAATAAAAAATTCTTGAATGAAGCAATTTCATCTCAAGAACATGGATTTGTTTGATTGAAGAAATCCTTTTTTTCTGTGTATAATGTAGTTCTCTATTGAGTTCACTCTCCTATCCTTTCATTTTCATATGGACTGACTGAATGATCTTGACTCCTATATAATTTCCAAAATGCTGAAGGTACACTGGAAAAAAATTGAGTGAAATTTCACTCAAGGTCCACACGCAATGATGTGTCAATTTCGGTCCACGCCCGATTGATTTGAAATATCACCCTACTTGACTGTGTGAAACGGTAATTCATGAGCCAATTTAATCAAATCAGTTGTAAACATTCTCATCGATAGGAAAACTTGATGAAATATCTAGCTTGAGTTCAGAATTCACTCAAAAGTTTCAATCAATAAATTCACTCACGTCAACATATGCAGTCACTCAAATGAATATCCTACAGTGTATTGAATTTATTATTTTGTCGTTTCCAGAATGGCATCAAAGAATGGGGATATACGTTCATTCTAGGCGGATGCATCTATTGCGCTTGCGGGACACTCTTCATCCTCTTCGGTTCCGTCCAAGAACAAAGTTGGAACAGGATAGCAGACGAGAAGAAAGAAGATGATCAAAGTTAGAGACATTCCGATAGTGAATATGCATCTATTGTAATTACTGATTCATTGTTGCTGTGATCGTCGTTATATCCATGTAAAGAATCATCCATTGAAGTGGTCCATTCCTATATTCCTGTCATGCGATTGAAGAAAATAAATATAATATGTAGAATGCCCCGATGAGGCCTATCCATAATTCTTTTTGAAATGTTCATAGGTTGATCCCCAATACATGCAACCTATTCTTTGTATTTTTTTCGAAATCTTCCAATTCATCTGATCACATAATTATGTATTTACAGTATCTAAGAAATCTTCTGATTTGTCTCCCCATTAATACTTTTGTGACCCCAGGGGGAAAATGTGTATGTAATCAATCATTCACTTTGGAATTGTATTGGATAATTCTGTGTGAGATGTAATTGTCCAATATATTCCAATACATGGTTAACAGCACATTTATACTCTTCTGGCAAAAGGAATCTTCTCAGAGAAAATGAAGTGAATATGCATAGAGATTCATGAGAATATAATATAGAGAATGCGACGTGAGGCATCGCGAGGGCTACTTCACAAAACCTCGAATTTTTGTTCAGTGCGAAATGTTACTTTATACCTCAACAGTTTCTCATAATCTGCAAAGCACAGATACAACCTGATCTAGAATACTGTTCCCACATATGAGGTTCAGCACACAAACATACGCTGATGCTCTTAGATTCCATCCAGAGAAGAGCAATTCGCCTAGTGGGTGATGCCACATTCTCTAATTCTTTGACTTCATTGGAAAGCCGTTGTAAAGTTGTTGACCTTCCAATTTTTTATAGATTATTTCACGGAAAATGTTCTTCAGAAATCTCGGCTATACCAACAGTAGCAATATCCGTCAGACGAACTCGACAAGCTCAGTCAGCACATCCTTTTGTAGGCAACTTCGAAATATGTCGAACAGCACTCTATCAAAGCTCGTTTTTCTATAGAACGACAAAGCTCTGGAATTCATTGCCCAAGGCAGTATTTTCAAGAAATTATAACATCTAATAGTTTAAAAAAACAATACTTATTCCCCCGCCCTTCCATCCCTAGGTTTATGTATGTGTGGGCGGTTCGGGACCTGAAGCATTTAGGCCACACTTCCGGGCCCATTGTGCACCCACATTTCTGGGATCGCAAGTCAGCCATGGAAACGACCGATCTCGCCAGCAAAAGACACCAACTTCCTAGGCATTTTTTTAACATCCTCTGGATTCAGAACACTGCACCCAAAATGCCGTGCTGCCACTACTGTCGAGCATTCAGTTAGGATATTGGTAGAAATCTCTTCATCCTCTAAGCACCATCTGTATTCAGGATCATTCAGAAGGCCCACCATCAGTATCAACTCCCATCCTGTTCAAAGCCAAGAGGGCATTGGTCTGTCTTCGTGACGACAGATTTTCTACGTGAATTTTATTGGACTGCCTCAATCCAGGAGCCTCTCTCCTGCTGTCCTGAAACCTTTGCATGAGGGTTCTCCCCATACTTAAGTTGCTCCAGGATCGAGTGACCTCTAAGTCTGGCTCTGGACCAACCACTGAAACCTCCGCCCCCTTTCTGGCCAGATCATCGGCCATTTCGTTACCAGCACTTTATCAAGATTCCTTCATCCATAGAACGGCTAGGCTCTGGAATTCATTGCCTGTGGAAGTATTCCCAACAACATATAATCTCCAAAAATTCAAAAAAAAATCCAATTCCTACCTCCTGTCCCAATCCTCCCTAGGAACGCACGATGTTCTTTGAACATTATAGGGATTCCCTTTCGTGCGCTCCAATCGATAAAAAAAAAAAAAAAAAAAAGGAACCCCTGAGTGCTCAGGGACCCACAGAAGACATACTTTGTTAGTTGCCGCCAGCTTTTTGTGATCTGACATCGAGGAGGAGGTCACCCAGCTAGCACAATGTCATTCATATAGAACGTTCATAGAATATATTTTAATATTCTCAGAATATTCTCACAATATGATGCAAATATTCTAGGGATGTTTTATGAACATTCGGAATGGGCTGTTTCAAATATTCTGAGAATATTCCTAGTATATTGAAGGAGCATGAAAAAAATCAAAAAAAGGTTGCTCCGGTAGAGATGCGAACCCACTATCTTGTGATTGAATTTTTAGGAAAGTGAAACCTTAACCACTTTGCCACGAACCTTATTGATGAATAAAATGAATAGCAAGATGACAGCACTGAATTAGTGGGATAATCAGCACTGAGGCTAGAGAAAGATGGGCTATGTCAGGATAAACATTATAAATATCGATACAAGAATAAGAACATCAATATAATTTATTTTGATACAATTCTGAATATTCCCAGAATATTCGAATAAAATATTCCAAGAATATTCTGAGAATATGTCCGATTCAATGTTCATAGAATATTCGCGGCAGGATGAGAATATTCTATGATCATTATGAGAACAACCTATAATAAGAAGATTCTAAAATAAGTACCTATATTTGAACGTTGTCAGAATATTCATAGGATACTCTTTGCTGTCTGGGCACTCTTTATGAGGTGAGTGCATTGATCGCTGCCTGGCTGTAAGTGCATATGGTGATTTGCTGGCTGCGATAGACTCTTTCGATATTCTCTTGAATACAGTCAAGTATGGCGAATACCTATACCTCAGCCTGAAAAATCGTGGCATATTTCCCAAGGGTACATAGTAGAGATCTACCCTTGAGGACTGCCCATAAACTCAAGCACCTGCACATTCGTCCATCCTGGAGCTATCTGTATATAAGATAATGCCCTTGGTTGGTATGATGCAGTGCTCATTCTGTTTCCAGTCTATTCAAGTAGGCATTTTGACTCAGGGCATCTTCCTGAATCGAATGATTGGGGTTATACTATCTCCTTCCATACTGAGTGAGGGGCAGTCATCTGTAATTTGCTTCCAGAGGCGAGAATGTCAGACACTCCTTAACCTCTATGCGTATTTACTTCAATAGATGGTTTCTCCTTGAGAAGATAACTTTTGCCAAACGTGTATATGCCAACATGCAAAAATTAATGATCTGGACCGGTCACAAAAGTTGTAAAAAAAATTACAAAGATAAAGTAGAAGATAAAAAAAAATTACAATTTTGGAATAATATAAAGATTGTCGACTCGCGGTGATTTGTCACGTTATTAGGGATTATCCTTCAAAACTCTTGTAAGGGTCGTAAAAATGCTTCATTGCGAATCCATCTTCTGCATATTTTTGTTCCTTCTTGATGGAATATATGTATTGTTTAGAAGTGTGGGGCCCCTAACAACACGAGTACATCCTAGGGACTTCCCAGGGACGTCCCTAATTTCAAATAAGGACATCCCAGGGATATCTTTTCTGGGACAAAGTACATACTAGGGACGTCCCAGGGACATCCGCTTTCAGACAAAAAGGACATCCAAGGGATGTCCCTCCTGGTACGTCCCTGGGATGTACCGAGTACAAAGGAGGGATATCCCTAGGACGTCCCAAGGATATCCCAGGGACATCCCTTCGACAAAAGAAAAAAAATGTAGGTCTAGTTGGGATTGAACCCGGGACCTTCAGCTTATCAGGCACGCACCTTACTCCATTGGCCAATATGCCTTCTGAAGATTCATGTATTGAACAGATTTATAAACAGGACAACTACAGAAACCTGGATAAATAAAACTGTTATATAGGATTCGGGTATAATTATTATCATTCTTGGGTGTTTGAAAATGAGGGGCATTATGCATTTACGATCTCTGTTTGCGAAAAATGGTCATTTCTTGAGAAGTTTTGAGACTATATTCTTTATTTTCATCACAATTATTTTCCGGAAAAAATATATTTTCGAAAAAATTCGACTCAATATTTTGATAATATTGAATGACTCTCTGATGTGAAGAATGGATATCAGATATTCCAGGGACACGAATGGGATAACCTAGGGATGTACCGGGTGGGATGTCCACTGGACAACTACTGGCGGGACATCCCCTGGATGTCCCAATCATTTCCTTGTACCGCGGGACATAAAAGGGACGCACCTAGGACATCCCTGTGTTGTTAGGGGCTAGGCCTCTTCGATGGGTAATCCTTAACCAAAATCAACTGATAGGTTTGACATCGTAATAAAGATCGTATTTTCTGACATGTATTTTTTGAGTCCACCAGAGCCAAGTATAGGTAAGTTGATATATGAACTCTGATTAGATCATTTATCTTGAAAACGAAAAGTTGAATCTGTTCATTATACAGGGTGTTTCGAAATTCGACCGACAACGCTTGACAGGTGATAGCCCTCGTGATTTCATGATCACTGAGATAGGGACATATGGTCTTGAAGTGTTCAGTTCTCGAGATACAGGGCGTTAAAGTAAAGAAATAAAAATAGTTGTTTCGCAATATCTCAAGAATAATTGAATATAATGCATTAAACTTCGGTATATATGGTTTCATCTTTGAATAGGTCATTTTTTGACCAGGAAGCCATTTCGGACATTTAATCCAGTGGTGCCCTACAGGGGGTTGTGGCAACTTTTCCTCCCATATGTTCTACGCCACTGATTAACTTTCGATTATTTCCAATTTCTCGAATTCATTGTTCAATTTTGTTCAAAAAATGCATCAACTTCAACTGAGCTGAAATGAACAGTTTTCGGAATATTCGACCCAGAATAGAAGATTGCATAGTAATATTTCATCATTTTCAGTAGTATAAAATTACAGAAATATTTTTCTGGTGTTGAGTAGATTAGAAACTATTCATATCCCATTCAATAGCTGAACAGAAAAATAGTTATTCCACGCATAAATAGAAAACAATTTTTTTTAACTTTCTACTACTGAGGAAGATGCAAAATTACTATGCAAACTTTTATTTTGGGTCAAATATTTCGATAACTGTTCATTTTAGCTTAGTTGAAGGTGATGCATTTTTTCAACATAATTGAACAATCAATTCGAGAAATTGGAAATGATTAAAATATCATCAGTGGCGTAGAAAATATGGGAGGAAAAGTTATCACAACCCTCTGTAGCGCACCTCTGGATACAATTCTCGGAATGTCTTTCTGGTCAAAAAATTAACCGTTGAAAGATGAAACGATATACCGAATTTGAATGCATTATATTCAATTTTTCTTGAGATATTGCGAAAAAACTATTTTAATTTCTCAACTTCAACGCCCTGTATCTCGAGAACTGAACACTTGAAGACCGTATGTCCCTATCTCAGTGATTATGAAATCACGAGCGCTTTCACCTGTCAAGCGTTGTCGGTCGAATTTCGCAACACCCTGTATATAGGCATGTACCTGCTTCACGACTTCTGGGGTTTTTGAAGTTATAACTTCTATAGACCCGTTAAGCACTGTCTGGGATGGTAAAAACCCACACAGCACATTCACGTCTTATGTACACGTATGTCCATTAGATGTACAGCATGAA